AAAAGTTTTAATAGTTTAGGCAGGGAACATAGTTCGACTTTAAAAAAAAAGAGAACGTTTCGATAAGTTTTCTCTCTTAACCTTTTTTTCATCATCTTTAGGCTCGATTAAACATCAAAACAAATATTTAAAAAAAGGCAAAAATCAAAAATTTCCCTCCCCTCTCCTCTCCTCCTCCCCAAAAAAGTTTCCATTTAAAGTTTTTTATAAATAGGCGAAAATATTTAGGGCTCAAAGTAAAAAAAATTTTTTTTTTGTCTTTCTATTCATAGTTTCCGGCTTCTTTAACTTTCCACGTCATTTATTTTGATTGTTTATAAACAAATTTGTTTATCCTCCCTCCCCTCCCCTCCTACCCCCTTCCTCTCCCTCTCCCTTCCTCCCCCTCCCCCCGTTTTAAAATAATTTCTAGTAAAAAAAAAAAAAAAAATTATATTAAATTATGGGAATAAAAAAAAAAAAAAAAAAAAATGTAAAAGATTATTTAAATTAATATTATGGTAAACAATTTTGATGATTAAGGTTTAATGAACTCTTCACATACCTGATACCTATGTTGTGTGTCGCAAATCAACCTGAAATAATTTTTTTTTTTTTTTTTTTTTTTTAATTATGTTTCTTTCTTAATAAATAAAAATTCAGTTGATACGCGAAACCTATCCCAACTTCTTTGTTTATATTAAACTCGCGTTTAAAATTTTTTTTTTATTATTTTTTTTAACCCGGGAAAAAATTAATAATTAATTTATGTATAATCATTATTATTATTATTATTATTATTATTTAAAATTGTGAATTCGAACGGTTAAAAATGTACGAGTACAGTGACGACATTTAAAAAATGAGAGTGAAAAAATTCCGACCGGAAATATAAAAAAAATCGGTAAAATAATAATTTTATTGTAAGAAAAATAGGTTTGGAATGAGGGCCCCCCAAGAAAAAAAAAAAAAACTTTTCAATAAATACTAACGTAAAATTATTATTATTATTATTATTTTGTTAACAGATTCTGAAAACGCCATTTATAAAGATCAACCTCATGTATTTCAACAATCGGCAACAATAACGGCCGCCATGTGGAACGAAGTGAGATATAAATTTTTATATATAAAAAAAAATTTTAAACATCAAACGAAATTAATTAATAATAATAATGATAATGATAATATTATAGGATGATTCTATGGAAAAAAGTGGAAAATGGCTTTTTGGAAATTGGGGAGTACTCAACGAATATTCACCTTTAATAGTGGGTTTGGCATGCGGTTTCGGAGTCGTTTTGATAGTTGTGACAACAATGACATTATGGAAATATTGTTTATTGACGGCAACTAAAAAAATGTGCTGTGAGTTAATAAATAAATAAATAAATAAATAAATAAACGTTTTATTTTGACACCGGATTAAATTTCAATAGAGAAAAAAAATTTTTCTTAAAGGTAGAGGTACGTACGGTATAGCAACATGTCAAATTGAAAAAAATTCAGCACCATTAAGGTAAGTTAATAAAATGGTATAATTTTTTTTTTGTTTAAATTAAATTTAAATTTTTTTTCGTTTAAATTAAATTGAAATTTTTTTTTTTAAATGGAAATAAAATTTTTTTAGAAAGAGAGAAAAACAAGAAAATTCCAATGATTTCGATAATTTTAAACGTTTTGAAATACATGAAAGTAAAAAAAATTATTCAATGTTAAGACGATCGGCTACGGTCGGTTCATTTCCACTGGTAATTTTTTTTAATAATAAATTTATATGTACATAAAAAAATCTATTATTTAACAAATTGATTCGATAATGATAGTTAAATGATTCAGA